CGTAAGAATTTGCCCATAAATGGCAAATATCCATGTTATCCTCATGCAGAGACATTTATGGAGGCGAGGGTAGCAAAACTAAAAAAATGCAAAAATTGGCACGCCGAGGGGAGTCGAACCATCAACACCCACCCTAACGTTACCGGCATGCAGAACCCTCCCACGTATCACTAGGCCATCCGATCATTGTAGCTAACACTATTACAGTTTTTCTCCTTTTACAATTTATAGGCAAGGCTGCTGCCGAAAACTGATTTTTACGTGTAAGTAAGTGATGAGATTATCAATTTGGTACTTAATTTTAGCTGTGGTGCCATTTGACTCCGATTTGCATCCACATCACTCTCCTACGGAATTCACTATGGAAATCCATACAAGGGACGTTTCGCGCTATCCTGCCGTCAGATTGTGTCAGCGCCAGAAATGAGTGTCAGAATCGTGTTCAGGACCATCAATAACCCCTATAGACGAAGAATCGCTCAAAAAAATTTTTCGACCTTTTTTGGGGTGTGTATTCGATTGTGTACACGAGACCCTGTCACGAAATCCTACTTTGCCTGCCTCATTTTAAACCTTCCCATTTACTGATTAGTAAACATAAAACTGATTACTGATAAGGTGAAACATAATAACTGACAACAAGCTGTACCAGTGGGGGAAGAGAAAATCAGACATCCCTCCAGGTGCATTTGGAATTTTGGAAACTTAAACGACTCTGTTCTGCGGCTGGAGGAGAATGACACCTTCGTCGGTGAGCACCCGCTAGGGGTCGACAAAGGTCCACGATGGTTGTTCACGTATTCCACATGCATCCAGACTTATAACTGCATGGAAGGACCTTTGGTGCAGCGAATTTGCGATGCGGCTGCTCGGCGGCGCGCTACGTCATCTTTACGTCACCGCCCTTGGCAAGGTGTGGGACTTCGGTCATAATCGTCGACCAAATGGGCCGCCTTAACCAAAGACGGTCGGAAAAAATTTGTTGCAGTGATCTTCGTCTACGAGCGGGTTATTGATGGTCCTGAACACGATTCTGACACTCATTTCTGGCGCTGACACAATCTGACGGCAGGATAGCGCGAAACGTCCCTTGTATGGATTTCCATAGTGAATTCCGTAGGAGAGTGATGTGGATGCAAATCGGAGTCAAATGGCACCACAGCTAAAATTAAGTACCAAATTGATAATCTCATCACTTACTTACACGTAAAAATCAGTTTTCGGCAGCAGCCTTGCCTAATTGTAGGAGAAAACTGTAATAGTGTTATAATACCGAGTCGCGGATCCTACAGGTAAGAATTTGCCCATAAATGGCAAATATCCATGTTATCCTCATGCAGAGACATTTATGGAGGCGAGGGTAGCAAAACTAAAAAAATGCAAAAATTGGCACGCCGAGGGGAGTCGAACCATCAACACCACACCAACGGTCCGATTGAGACCCTGCCACGCCTACTCACGTAGGCCATCCGATCGTTGTAGCTGAACACCGCTCCCATCATTGAAGAAACCATCCGACAAGCCGCCCAGAGGCGTTCGCTGTCAATCACGTGCCGCAAATAAGACCCCATTCGCGACTACTTTCCTCCTCGATACCTATAGTGCCTTTATAAGGACCCACTACTCAGCCACTGGTCAAAGTTGGAAGTGATTTGGAGCCCATAGAAGCTCAAAACCAGCCCGTTTCCTTACATTTCTTCTTCACTCCTTTTTTGGTATTCAAAGAGCCATTTAGGAAAAATGAACGTCAGTTTGGTAGTCCATGAACGTGCCCCTACACAATGCAAAAAACCGTTTTCAAAAAGCGCGCCATGTCCTGAACGACCTCCCTGGTAAGTGGCCCTATAAGTTCCATAAGAAAACTACATACAGAACGTCTTGTGCTGTCCAACATTTTGGTGAAAAACAGCTGCATATTTCAACCTGGTTGTTGTTGTCTGCTGCCAATTTCAAGACTCTTTAAGAGCCAATTTCATGAGTTTTTCATAGTAAGAACATCCCAGTCGAAGTTACATCATTCGACTCCTCGGGAAAAATGCTACCTATCCAATATGGAGAATCACCTCATAGAGCTTTCTATGACATTTCGCAGTTTTCCCCGGCTTTCTTCTCTATCAGCGATCAATCGACCTCCTAATTAGTCATCCAACCGAGGTATCAGGGCACCAGTATTGATCGAGTAAGCCCCTAATGTCCAACGACCCATAGTGGGGTCGTCTTCTGTTCACTAGTCTTTGCCTGAACAGACCGCTACGAGTGCCTCTCCGAAAATTTGTTCATATTTTTGAAATTTCAATTTTCGTCGCTTTTGAAGGACATTCTACTTTCCTGGATGTGAGTAGGGTTCCTTCAAATAGAGTTATGGCAAGCATTCTACAGATTAGTTCATCTGACAGCCTTGGTTGGAATCCGTTTTATTCAAATGAGTTGTAAAATCTCATGCACATTCTGCTCCTAATCTGTGTGATTGATGTGCGACAAAGGTCCTTAGGTAAACAAGCGCAGATACCGCCCAGGTCAACAGCTGCGATCGGATGACGGCCTTTGTAAAAACGATGGAGAAATCAACCAAATTAATATATTGCTGTGTGGCATGTAAATAATAGTTATCCGGGGTAACTTGTAAAAAGCAAGTTTCTGGTGATTTTTGGAAATTCAAAACTATTACACTTAACTTTTCCATTGCCTCCAAGCACAGCACTTCTGTTGCCTTAGAAATCTTACGGGATCATAGAAGATCATCACGGAAGATTCGTTTCGACGGAAACGCCAGTAAACCAATGCATAGCAGGGATTTTGTATTGGAAGCGTTCAAATTTCATAAAATTTATGAAATTTTGATGAAAATCGAAATCTAAATATGAACAAATTTTCGAGAACGGCAGTCCTCGCTGGTCTGTTCAGCAAAATAGTGAACAGAAGAGACCACTATGGTCGTTGGCATTAGTGGGTCTGATCAATACTTGTGCCCTGATACCTCGGTTGGATGACTAATTAGGAGGTCGATTGATCCGCTGATAGAGAAGAAAGACCTGGGCGGAAAACTGCGAATGTCAATTAGAAAGCTCTTATGAGGTGAATTGCTATATGGATAGGTAGCATTTTTCCCGAGGAGTCGAATGATGTAACTTCGACTGGGATGTTCTTACTATGAAAAACTCATGAAATTGGCTCTTAAAGAGTCTTGAAATTGGCAGCAGACAACAACAACCAGGTTGAAATATGCAGCTGTTTTTCACCAAAATGTTGGACAGCACAAGACGTTCTGTATGTAGTTTTCTTATGGGTCTTATAGGGCTGCCGCTAGACGCCTCGGAAGATTGCTGTTTTGAAAACGCTCAAAATCGCGTATTTGCCCGAGTATCGCACGATGTGCTCATTTCAAGTAGCTGAAAAACCCTTCTTTTTGATTTTATTCTTGAATTGGCGGCGAGAGACGCGTTAGGGGATAACCAGGGCTCATTGCATTAGGCCAGGCGTTGTTATTCGTGTGGTCCCAACGTGAACCATGTGCCCTGCCCAGAAATCTTTTCAGACTGAAAAGGCTATATCGTCCCAAAATAATATTGAGCGAAACCCATCAGTTTTCAGGAAAATTGGCACCTTAATGATCAGCGTCATTTGATGAACTCAACTATCTGATTTTCAATCAATTCTTACGCGATACAGTACGTTATTTAATTCCTGAATGATTTAATTTCAAACGATTACCCTCTGGTTACAATATAGCGAGACTCGCTCGCTAACGAGTGTCCTCAGGTACTCCGATGGAAAGCGGAGTTGAATTTTTAACGTTTCTACTTTTTTAAGACATCATCTTACAGAACTCGACGAGCTGAGTCCAACAGCGTAAGTTTCTAATGGGAAAAAATGTACAGGAAGTAGAGTGATGCAGAAAAAAAGAACACCGAAAAAGAAACTCGGACTAGCGTTTTTTTTTGCTTTTTCGAAGAGTTACGGCGAGTATCGTAGTTGATTACCTTTGCCTCCTAATTGGCTCGAAGTCACCCTGTTTTTCTCGGACGCTAGACTGTAAAGAAACAATGATTTCGAAGTGATCTTTTCAAACTTAAATTTTCAACCTCAAATTTTGGTATAAAAACCCTATCATTGGTGATACCAAAATGATCGCGGAGTCATGCTGTTTCCATATATGTCGGTAATTCTGACTTTGAAACACTTTTCTCCAAGATCATGGTCCAAGTAGAGGGTTTACGACATGGCCATATCCGCAGGTAACACCTTAGGTGACTGGAGACTCAATCGCAGTTTTCCCTGAGAATCATCTTGGATTCAGTAGGAAAATGTAGGAAATTCGTTATAAGTTAGATTCATAATGAGCATGGCTATCGACTGATCCAATTTTCAGACCATTTCGATAACTTCTACGGAAGTTATGGCAATGCGACGGTTTGCGACGGATTAATCCGTCGCAAACCGTCGATTTTGCAGAAATTAGGGGCGGTATTGTACCTACCAGGCTTTCACACTTCAAGGATTCTTGGGGCACTCGACACTCGGGCCAACTGCACTTTGAAACACAAAGCCCCAGTTTTGACTTTTGGAAGCTGAATGCACCGGGAGATGTCCCTCAGGGTGAGGCAAAATGAGAAAGAATTACTGTGCGGCACTCCACTGAATGCCGAGAGAAAGTGGTAGTTACACTTGAAGACTACGCAGAATGAGGACTAGCCAGTCGTAAGGTAATAAGAACACTATCATCATTCAAAAAATTTTATAGATCGAGAATCCCGAAAGAAGGGTATCGTTAGTTGATTAGATTATTTTGATGAATCTCGACTTTTTATTACGCCTTCTTCTCTTCTTTAGGTGACTAATCCTCAGCTCTCTTTTCTTGAGGCCCCTTCTTAGGTGCATCCGCCTTCTCCTCAACTTGTTTCGGAGCCTCCTTCGGACTTTCTGAATCGTCTTTAGAGCCTTTCGGTTCGTTCTTGGAACCTCCTGGCTCATCTTTAGAATCTTTTTTCTCGTCTTTGGAACCCTTCTGTTCGTCCTTAGGGCCCTTTTGTTGCTGCTCGGGAGCCCCCTTTTTCTGACCTGCTGCCTTTCTCGAGCTACATCATATTGGCGCTTAGGTGTTGCTGCGGACACTACGTTGAACTTTTCTCCTTCTTCTGATGTTTCACTTGGTTCATCCGATCCTACCTCTTCTTCAGGTTCCTTCTTTTCCGCACCTTCTCCTGCCTTGTCCTCCTCTTTACCGCTTTCAGGTTCATCTTTCTTCGCATCTTCTTTACTTCCCTTGCTAGTTTCTGTACCCTTGCTCTTACCAGCATCACCAGGCGGTTTCTCGGCGGAGCCTTTTTCGACACTGAAAAACACAGTATTTTGCAGCTATATTATTTAAACCAGGAATTTTAAAAACTCCTAATACAACAGTACTCTTTCACGGCCACTGCATCGAGTTTAATGTTCTTCGTTTCCTAAACAGGCATAGTTCCGATCGCTCTCATAACATTTATGGAACAATGAAAACGGTAAAAACGGTTTTTTGATGAAAGGGACATTCCGTTTCTTGTTGTTGAAATTTACCCTGGCAACGATTAGAAACGCACATAGTTTGTATAACATCGCAACCAGTCGGGTGGCGAGAATACCGCGGCATGAGCTCGCCTTTGGGTAACTTGCTCTACCAATGGCGATGGAGTAGTAACCTATTTAGGATAAAGCAGCCAGGGGAGGGGAGCGGGTGGGGGGTGAGAACGCTGCAAGGTGGCTGATTGCGACCCGACTGCCATGTCATGGATATGCACCTGTCATGTGCAAGGCCCCCCAGCTTGATTGCCTCGAGAACTGGTGAGAAAGCACGAGCAACCTTACATAGTCAGAATCAGCTCAGCCTCATCTCTTGGTACCAGGGTGCGGCGTCGATTTAGCTGAGATGTCGGTATCAGTACAACCCCCTTAACTTCCTCCTTCCGGTACAACTTCGTTCACCTATCAGAAATAGAGGTTATGTGGCCTCGCCAGTTAAATGAAAGAGACACGATAAATCCCCAAGACGTGTAGAATCAAATGCCTAGCAGGGCACTATCCGGCACCCTTGAGCAGGCGGTGTGTGGCACATTTCCCGAGGGGAATTATCCCTGTAGCGCTCTACCAAGCTGCACATACTGAGGCGGACCCCCACAAACGTCCGACTGATGCTGAGGCTCGTACCACTTTGTTTGCTGAGTTCAATTAGAAACGAGGGAATTGTCCTGCAGCCGCATTTACCGTAGCGATTATTGGCACAATGTTAGCGGGGAAACTCGTCAGAAATCGCTTTCTGGATCATAAAATCAAGGCTTCCTCTGTAAGTTTCACTTCGCTTTTTCCTCTCAGTTCGTTTTTTTTGCCATTTTCCTCACTATATAGCACCCCTGCTGCCGTTTCGATCGATTACCGAATTATGGTGCCACCTGAGGAGGGCTGAGCTGATCTTACTCCTATAAGACATGCCTTTTTTTGTGCATGTTTTTCGAACAATTAAAGGCAGTTGGCACGATGGTTTCCTACTTAGCCTAAAATGCTAGTAGGGCGCTGTATAGTGGGGAAATGGCGAAAGAACGGAGTGAAACGGTCAAATCCTGCGAAGAAAAAGCCTCCGTTCTCAGTGACTTGAAAATCGATTTCAGGACGAGTTTCCCGCACGCATCTTGCCAAATCCAGCCGCCTAGCCGAAGATACGGCTGCATATTTGTACCCATATATGAATGCACACGACCGTTTCATGCCAATCCCTGCTGCATAATTTGCTTAGCAAAGGAATGAATACGAGCGCCAGAATGCCGTCGTTCATGGGCGCGGCGGGCGTACGTGGGCTTGTGGACGTAATGCTGTGACGTTGAGTTTTGGCAATATAAAGGGCACCTTCCCGGGGAAACCGCTATGCAGCGCTTGCCCAGTGCCGGGGAATTCCATCCTGCCAGGAGTATTGATCCTAGTCGTCTTATTAGGGAATTTATCATGCCAACTAGCCTTAAGCCTCCAGAACTTTAAAGAATCTGCGCGCCTCGTTTTTATAGGCTCAGAGGATTCATGAATCAGGTAATCGCATATGTTTAACAGTTGAGGGAATTATCAACAGAAAAGCTGGATAAAGAGATTGCAAGCTAGGATTCCCTCATTCTGCGGCACGTACTAGGGAGACAAGAATTTTTGGTTGCAGAACTCACCCTTGTGGGAAAACAATGAAGAGTTATTTATGAAACTGAATATGTTCGAACAAAGATTGTAAATCATGATTCCGGGCTCCCAATGGCCTTTAAACTTGCCTACCTAGAATAAATTACTTGGTGAGGAGTTAGTAACCTTGACTCATTACTCCTATTTGCACAGGCCTACCGTTCGAGCAGCAGCAATGTTCCCGATTCTTGTTACAATGTTGAGTATTGCCGTAAACTTTGGCTCGAGCTTCTGTGGGTATTAACTCGGCTGCACTCAAATAGTTCGTTTCCCATGATACCGAAATCGAATTGTACGCTAAGAGATATGTAGCGAAGTACAAATGCGTCCCCTGAAATATTCCACCATGAAGTTTTGTCCTTTTTCTCTGACGTGCAGTCGCGCCGATCTTTCAGGCTAGTCAATTATCAGAAAAGAAAGAAGGGCACTATTTACCCTTTACTGCCTCAGTCTTCCAAAAGCGGGCCAGTTTTTGACCGACTTTTTTCTCCGTGGACAGGATTGGCTGAAGATTTGTTTACTGGGTAGTTTGACCTCCAGAGCACGAATATCACATCCGCTCGGCACGACGACCTTCTGGTGCCCGCGCTACGGGCGCTGACGGCAAAATACCCCAAATCATCGCTGGCCTGTGGCGCGGACGCCGGGAAGTTTTATTACTTCAGGAGACAACATTTGAGCCAAATGGCTGTCCACGGAGAAAAAAGTCGGTTAAAAACCGGCTCAGTTCTGGATGGTTGGGGCAGTAAAGGGAATATAAAAAAAAAGAAAAAAAAAGTTTTAAGATGTAGTTTGTTCTGCCAAAGAGCGTCTTTGACCTCTTTGGCAGAACAAACTACAACTTAAAAGTTCACGATAATGCCGAGTTTTTATGAAGAGAGAAGCTGGCGCCCGTCGCAGAAAAGAAACCATTGCGGTACACCTTCATATCGTTTACATTCTCATATAGTAAAGCGGCGGCTGCAAATATGCAAGTACCCATCGACAATATGTACACAAGCCTTCGTCCTAGCCAGAGAAGTCTATCGTCAGCAATGCCAACAAGCTGAAATGGTTGATCTAAGCGGTTTGTTTTGCACATCGGCGGCGTGAATAATCACTTTTTTATCATCGAATGCTACTTGCGTTGCCCTAGACAAATTCGTCAGGTCTTGACTCCCATATCTATAAATTATAGGTCCTCCTGTATACACTCTAGTTCTCTGCGGGCGGTTGGGCGTGTCAGCCAGTATAAGTGTGTCACCCTATCAAAGCCGTTCTCTGCCTTCTTGTTGAAGAGCGTCTGCGACAAAAAGTGGTAGAAGACGAGTAATACGAAGGATATGATACAGTATTGTCACTTGCCCGCTTCAACAACTGGTGTAGAACGAGTTTGGCACCGCGCCAAACGCAGCCGCACTGACACGCCCAACCGTCCGCAGCGAACTACACTATACAAGTGGACCACATTCATCTGTCTGTCTGTTGTGTCTATCTGGGGCCGGTTTGTGGGAGGGGGGACCGGTCAACGGTGAGTTCGGTAGAGCATGGGCCGAGATGCACGGAACACACGCAAACTTAGCTAAGCCCCGATCACTCTGAGTGAGGCGTGCGCCTAGCCAGGAGCCACATACTGTACTCATCATTACGGACTGTCGGGGCGTCTCAGGCGTAGTTATAGGGCGTGCCGCACACTGCCTAAGCCGTTCTCAGCCTTTTTTGTTGAAACGCGTATGCGACAAAAAGTGGTAGAAAACGAGTAGTACGAAGGATATAATACAGTAATGTCACTTGCCCGCTTCAACAATTGGTGCAGAACGACTTCGGTACCGCGCCAAACGCAGCCGCACTGACACGCCCCGACAGTCCCTAATAGCATGCAGGGATTTATTTAGGATTTTAAACTCGGTTCCCGGCGTAAGCCCGGCTAGAACGGAAAAAAGGTAATCGGATGGGAAGGTGGTAAGAAAGACATCCTCATTGGCATGGGGCGTTACCAGGCGTAACTCCGGTCCGTTACCGCGGCCTACTGGCGCTCGCCCTAGCAGAAAAATTTAAAAGGTTATGCGTTCAGTTCTGCAGAGCCCTTGAGGTGGAAAGTAAGAAGCGAAGGGAATTGGCTGGCGGACGCGAGGAATACCTGCGAACAGCAACTACTACTTCTCCTTCTACTTATGTCTGTATCTGTTGCGATGATTTCGAAAACAAGGTTTGTACTTACACTAAACAGCTGGAACTAGACAAAAAGCGTGAGTATAACTAAGAAATTTCCTGATTGTCAGTCAGTCGAAATAATCCACTCGTTCCAACCATTTAAAATGAAACCGGTGTTGCTTTCTGGCATATCATACTAGTGGCATGCGTTACGTACCGCCTAGTTCGCTGGGATGATGCTGGGCGTTGTCAATTGCGGATCTGGCACGTTTCGGCGCCAGCGCCAAAACCTGCTCTACACCGCGTGTTAGCGAATAGTGAGAAAAGACTGTGTGTGATTGGCTTGTTCAATGTACTTGCTTTTTCTACCAACATGTGTTGTTGCATTACCCGCCTTCAACAAATGCAACGGAGAACGAGGTGTGTTGCCGCTGATGGCCTGCTCGACACGGCCCACTTCATCCGCAAGAGAAATAGGGTTCATGCAATCGCATAGAATGCCGCTTCGAGGACAACTTGCCGCCAGCGCTAGGCATTCATCGCATTCAGAGCTCGGGACGCCACATCAGCCTCGATGACAGCTTGCAAATAACGGCCAACGTTCCTGCCTTTCCAGCTCGGATTTATGAGCTGCCAACCCGAACTCATCGCAGAAGCCCGCCTACTAGGCAGAAAAATGCGGCGAAACTGCTTACTTCATTCTAAAGCGCTAATGATATAAGCATTAAACATGAGCTATAAGTGACCACTATCTACATTCAGAACTGCCTATTGAATAAAAAACTGTGACAGACAATCATATATAGTACAGTAGACATACCACTCGCACTATTGAGGCTAATCCTGCATTGACGATTTGGCCCACCCAAAGATTTTTGGTCTGGTCCTCACTGTTCAAATCAATACTATATGTACTCAGACCAGCACAAAACCACCTTAAATTTGATTGCGTTGGATTGCACCCGAAAAAATGTTTGGAGAATGACACGCACAACTATGTGGATCAGGCTCACCTATTTCACTTTACTCGATGCTTACATCTATTCGTGCGCATTAACGGAAGCATAGTCAAAATTCAGTTCAAGTTCACGAAATCCCAAGGCTGCGTTTATACTTTGCGGCAGCGTCCATCAGCGATCACCTGACTCAAGCAGCGACCACCAGCGTTTCGAGCGTTGGTCAGCGTTATCGATCAAAAAAGCATAGGTATCGATCTAGCGAACGGCAGCGTCCCTCAGCAAACATCAACGCCTAGAGGGACTGAGAAAGTAAGGATATCGATCTAGCGTCTGCTATCGGCGACCAAGTGTACGGTATTGTGTAGCAGTCCAATGTGGTTGCACACGCCACAATTTTACGATCCCTAAACCAGCTGTCTTATCCCTCGCTGCCTGTTGCTGGCGAACGCTGATAGATGCTGAAAACCCTGCTGTTCCTAGATTGATATTTATGTAATCGTGGTAGCTGACGCTGACGTGCGCTCGAAACGCTGATGGTCGCTTTTGGACGCTGCCACAAATTATGAACGCAGCCTAGTCTTGAAAGTGCACTATTTTCATATTTTGTGGTTTTTCATTATACTACGTTGTGAGGAAGCTCTTGCAGTTTGTGAATTTCGAACTTCAAAAGCGATCATGCTGTTGGATAAAACGAGCAATGTCCTTCAATACAATGTGGACCTTTTCAGCGGACTCACACCAAGTAATACAGAGGACAGCACTCAAAAGTGAGCCTTAGAAACCGCAAGAACTTCCCTCGCGACCTGATACAACGTCAGTGAATGAATCGCACCAACTTTCAGACACATGCTGTCTAACATTATCTATGCTAAGTCACTGTAATCTTTTTTCCGTTTCGTCGGCTCTACTGCTGTGACGGCTAATTATTTGAGAGCGTTGAGAAGACGCACATTACGACGAGCGTGAAAAAGCTTATGCGGAGCTGAGAATCTTGCAGCAACTCCATCATTGTCATTGGAGGAGGTTGTTTAAGAGCCGGTTTATCCTCTTTCTCTGAACCTAAATCACTGAAAAGCAATAACCGGAAGCTACGGTAGACGTCCAGCATTTCTACATCCTTCCAAAATTGCAGTCTGAATTTTTTTCACCTCGATTGTCTCTTAACGACAGTTGGCACGATGGTTTCCCACTTGGCCTAAAATGCTAGTAGGGCGCTGTGTAGTGGGGAAATGGCGAAAGAACGGAGTGAAACGGTCAAATCCGGCGAAGAAAAAGCCTCCGTTCTCAGTGACTTGAAAATCGATTTCGGACGAGTTTCCCGTACGCATCTTGCCAATCACCGCTACCGAAGATACGGCTGCATATGTGTACCCATATATGCATGCAGCATCACGGCCGCTTCATACCCCCTTTGCTTCATAATTTGCTCAGCAAATGAATGAATACGAGCGTCAGAAACGGTCGTCCGTTTGTGGGCGGGCGGGCGAGGAAGGCGTTTGGGACGGAATGTTGTTGCTCGATAGGGCGTTATAGGGTACCCTCCTTGGAAAAGGCGCCACGGAGGAAGGTGTGGAGTGGGGACCTGCCCAAGGTCAAGGAATTCTGTCAAGCCAGTC